TTACGTTAAATTAATAAATCACAACCACCTCTTAAAGATACAGTAACAAAGCAGTATACGATTCGGTATATGCAATGAAATACATTCAGAGCGTCGACGGGGTCTACTTACGCTTGTGCTGTCAGCTGCTGAATGCAACGCACGCCTCTTAGCAACACAAATTCTGCGCCTGGACAGTTCTTCTGTAGACGCTTGACGAAAATCGGATGAGACCTAAATGAAAGACATTATTCACAAATATTAATCACTAGCAATAAAAGTTATAGACTTAATAGAATGGCTACATGCCTATGAATCAAAAGACCTGAAAAGACTAAAATTATAAGGCTCGTTAGCAAATATAAATAGTTAATTTTAAAAAAGCAGCAGCGTAAAACTCGGCTTACTTATAAACAAACAACGCAAGATACTTTGACCATTCCGATGACTGATCAATATCGACGTTTCAGGTCGTGTCTCATGGGCCTTCTTCAAAACAGGTTGATGGTAAGGGTTCGTGAATGGTTGGTCGTTCGCAGCAGCCAATTGTTTCAGAGCCAGAAGGCAAGATTTCGGGTGGTACTGCTGGTTAAATACTTTTTGGGCGACACAGGCATCGAGGCTCATCCAATCAGCGCAGAGTTCGAATCTTTTATCATGGTTAACGTTTTTGCAGGATTGGATCATTAATCCCTCCTTCATCCGCTTGTGTAGCCAGTATCTCTCTCTCTCTCTGATGATGCCGTTACACTCATTAGGCCATCTGGAGACGGGAGAGTGTCATTGCATGGCGGCATGTTGCACAATTTCGGAGGCCTTCTCGCACTGATTGTCGAAACTGTCAACCGCTGCAGACGACCAACCTCATTCATGAAGCTTCCCCACCAATCTACCTGAAAAAGGCTCGTGAGACATAAGCCGAACCTTGGGAATTGGTCAGTCACGAGACTCACCACAGTAACTTTTGCGTTGTGTGTAAGTAAACTGAGATATACTATTTTTCAATATGACAGTCAACGCCCGAACGAATTGCTCTATCTTCGGTGAATTTGAACCTAAATACTGATGCCAAATTTGAGGCCGGCGTGATGGTGACATGAGGTTAACGGACACGAAGGCTGAAACAGGTAGAAGTGGTGGGGAGGGGGGAGGAGGGGCAAAGTTCGTGTATAGAAGCAGCAGGAGAATAAGTACGAACAAGCTGGCAACAGTGCAACTCGCATCTGGAATTACGCAACTGTCTATGCCTAAAAAGGTATTTTGATTATCGTCCTGGAAAGGCTAGACAGAATATTGAAAGAAATCTCCTCACATATTGGCAAACATTCCAAATGAAGCAATACCAAACCGACCGTGTCATTTACGTATGGCTGGTTGCAGCTTCCCGGGCATGTTAACCTCAACGATTTCCTAGGCTGCATTGTATTCCACCGTACGCTACTTCGGTATGGCAGAGTAAGTTCTGGATAAGTCGTGCATAAAGTGTATGATGGGACAGTTTGCGG